GTGTCTTCCCCCATAGTACTATTCCCTCTCGCCTACATTTCTGCTCATTAGAGTTCCCTTGAATTTCTTCCTTCTCTCTACTCTCTACCTTTGTGTGATACATGCAGTGTGTCAACTTGAACTGATACACTCATCTCCAAACTTCTATCCTGAAACTCAAACGATCATTCATTCAGGGATTGATTGATTGATTGATTGACTGATTCATTCATTCATTGATTCAGAGAGCCAGCCAGCCAGACAGCCTAACTGCCTTCCTGACTGCCTGCCTGCCTGCCACTCAGTCAGGCACTCACCACTGCTCAAACAGAAGTAGTCAACAGTTTGAATGAAGTGTGGCCAGCCTCATTCATGCATAGCTATCTCATGTGTTATTGAATAAATCCGCCTCTCTATCTAGAAATCTTCACTCTGAACAAAGTAACAATATAATGCAATATTATCCCCGTCAACTAACTTCTTTGAAAGAAGAATACGGTACTACTGATTTGACGAGCATCGCTTAGTATCATTGATACGAATATGGCACATCTATGCTATAACCCACTCATCAACTGACTCACACAAACTTCTTGCCTGTCTACATCGTCTCGAATTACAACGTAAAGCGAAAGCTAAAAATACAGTCTTCCTACCAGTTACATAAGTCAATTTAATTATCGAATCAGTGATAAGTGATACAACCATGATGACGTTTTCCCTACAGTGATCTGTCTATATTTGATAAGCCCTAATCGATTGATTTCCGACGGAATCTCAACACGGATACGAAAGGCTGGTGTGGCATTCGACAACGTACATCATCTCTGGTGTACACGTGATATCCGGTTGTCGGTGAAAAGACGACTTCACTACAAAGCAGTTGGTTCTCTCCTTCTTTATGACTGACTATCAGACATGGCCATTGACAGCCACAGATATGATGAAGAGGCTAGCTGTCTTTGAGCACAGAGGTTTGCCTTCTATCTCTCGTGTTAGTTAAGAGTGGTATAATATGGTGACAGATATTGAGCTTAGGCGTAGAGTCAGTGCTAGGCGAGGAAGGCAAGTCGATGAGAGATGAAGTTGTCAGTCAAGCTGCATCGATTGAGATGGCTAGGACACGTGTTGCGCATGACGAGCCACCTCACCGCCTGCCTTCCTCCACGAGAAATGTCACCTGACACAGGATTAGGTTGGAAAGGAGTTCTCGGTGGTCAAACCAAAATCTGGAATCAATCCATGCAGTCTTTCACTCTTGGTGTTCCAGTCACGTAGCCAGGTATAGACTGACTGGTTGGGGACCTCGGGATGATAAGTACCAATGTCTGGAGACTATTGGTGCTATGGCTGAAAATCCTTCTCCATGACTCAGATGCATTCACGCTTTGTCATCTCCCATTTACACTGAACCCTCGTGTCTTCCCCCATAGTACTATTCCCTCTCGCCTACATTTCTGCTCATTAGAGTTCCCTTGAATTTCTTCCTTCTCTCTACTCTCTACCTTTGTGTGATACATGCAGTGTGTCAACTTGAACTGATACACTCATCTCCAAACTTCTATCCTGAAACTCAAACGATCATTCATTCAGGGATTGATTGATTGATTGATTGACTGATTCATTCATTCATTGATTCAGAGAGCCAGCCAGCCAGACAGCCTAACTGCCTTCCTGACTGCCTGCCTGCCTGCCACTCAGTCAGGCACTCACCACTGCTCAAACAGAAGTAGTCAACAGTTTGAATGAAGTGTGGCCAGCCTCATTCATGCATAGCTATCTCATGTGTTATTGAATAAATCCGCCTCTCTATCTAGAAATCTTCACTCTGAACAAAGTAACAATATAATGCAATATTATCCCCGTCAACTAACTTCTTTGAAAGAAGAATACGGTACTACTGATTTGACGAGCATCGCTTAGTATCATTGATACGAATATGGCACATCTATGCTATAACCCACTCATCAACTGACTCACACAAACTTCTTGCCTGTCTACATCGTCTCGAATTACAACGTAAAGCGAAAGCTAAAAATACAGTCTTCCTACCAGTTACATAAGTCAATTTAATTATCGAATCAGTGATAAGTGATACAACCATGATGACGTTTTCCCTACAGTGATCTGTCTATATTTGATAAGCCCTAATCGATTGATTTCCGACGGAATCTCAACACGGATACGAAAGGCTGGTGTGGCATTCGACAACGTACATCATCTCTGGTGTACACGTGATATCCGGTTGTCGGTGAAAAGACGACTTCACTACAAAGCAGTTGGTTCTCTCCTTCTTTATGACTGACTATCAGACATGGCCATTGACAGCCACAGATATGATGAAGAGGCTAGCTGTCTTTGAGCACAGAGGTTTGCCTTCTATCTCTCGTGTTAGTTAAGAGTGGTATAATATGGTGACAGATATTGAGCTTAGGCGTAGAGTCAGTGCTAGGCGAGGAAGGCAAGTCGATGAGAGATGAAGTTGTCAGTCAAGCTGCATCGATTGAGATGGCTAGGACACGTGTTGCGCATGACGAGCCACCTCACCGCCTGCCTTCCTCCACGAGAAATGTCACCTGACACAGGATTAGGTTGGAAAGGAGTTCTCGGTGGTCAAACCAAAATCTGGAATCAATCCATGCAGTCTTTCACTCTTGGTGTTCCAGTCACGTAGCCAGGTATAGACTGACTGGTTGGGGACCTCGGGATGATAAGTACCAATGTCTGGAGACTATTGGTGCTATGGCTGAAAATCCTTCTCCATGACTCAGATGCATTCACGCTTTGTCATCTCCCATTTACACTGAACCCTCGTGTCTTCCCCCATAGTACTATTCCCTCTCGCCTACATTTCTGCTCATTAGAGTTCCCTTGAATTTCTTCCTTCTCTCTACTCTCTACCTTTGTGTGATACATGCAGTGTGTCAACTTGAACTGATACACTCATCTCCAAACTTCTATCCTGAAACTCAAACGATCATTCATTCAGGGATTGATTGATTGATTGATTGACTGATTCATTCATTCATTGATTCAGAGAGCCAGCCAGCCAGACAGCCTAACTGCCTTCCTGACTGCCTGCCTGCCTGCCACTCAGTCAGGCACTCACCACTGCTCAAACAGAAGTAGTCAACAGTTTGAATGAAGTGTGGCCAGCCTCATTCATGCATAGCTATCTCATGTGTTATTGAATAAATCCGCCTCTCTATCTAGAAATCTTCACTCTGAACAAAGTAACAATATAATGCAATATTATCCCCGTCAACTAACTTCTTTGAAAGAAGAATACGGTACTACTGATTTGACGAGCATCGCTTAGTATCATTGATACGAATATGGCACATCTATGCTATAACCCACTCATCAACTGACTCACACAAACTTCTTGCCTGTCTACATCGTCTCGAATTACAACGTAAAGCGAAAGCTAAAAATACAGTCTTCCTACCAGTTACATAAGTCAATTTAATTATCGAATCAGTGATAAGTGATACAACCATGATGACGTTTTCCCTACAGTGATCTGTCTATATTTGATAAGCCCTAATCGATTGATTTCCGACGGAATCTCAACACGGATACGAAAGGCTGGTGTGGCATTCGACAACGTACATCATCTCTGGTGTACACGTGATATCCGGTTGTCGGTGAAAAGACGACTTCACTACAAAGCAGTTGGTTCTCTCCTTCTTTATGACTGACTATCAGACATGGCCATTGACAGCCACAGATATGATGAAGAGGCTAGCTGTCTTTGAGCACAGAGGTTTGCCTTCTATCTCTCGTGTTAGTTAAGAGTGGTATAATATGGTGACAGATATTGAGCTTAGGCGTAGAGTCAGTGCTAGGCGAGGAAGGCAAGTCGATGAGAGATGAAGTTGTCAGTCAAGCTGCATCGATTGAGATGGCTAGGACACGTGTTGCGCATGACGAGCCACCTCACCGCCTGCCTTCCTCCACGAGAAATGTCACCTGACACAGGATTAGGTTGGAAAGGAGTTCTCGGTGGTCAAACCAAAATCTGGAATCAATCCATGCAGTCTTTCACTCTTGGTGTTCCAGTCACGTAGCCAGGTATAGACTGACTGGTTGGGGACCTCGGGATGATAAGTACCAATGTCTGGAGACTATTGGTGCTATGGCTGAAAATCCTTCTCCATGACTCAGATGCATTCACGCTTTGTCATCTCCCATTTACACTGAACCCTCGTGTCTTCCCCCATAGTACTATTCCCTCTCGCCTACATTTCTGCTCATTAGAGTTCCCTTGAATTTCTTCCTTCTCTCTACTCTCTACCTTTGTGTGATACATGCAGTGTGTCAACTTGAACTGATACACTCATCTCCAAACTTCTATCCTGAAACTCAAACGATCATTCATTCAGGGATTGATTGATTGATTGATTGACTGATTCATTCATTCATTGATTCAGAGAGCCAGCCAGCCAGACAGCCTAACTGCCTTCCTGACTGCCTGCCTGCCTGCCACTCAGTCAGGCACTCACCACTGCTCAAACAGAAGTAGTCAACAGTTTGAATGAAGTGTGGCCAGCCTCATTCATGCATAGCTATCTCATGTGTTATTGAATAAATCCGCCTCTCTATCTAGAAATCTTCACTCTGAACAAAGTAACAATATAATGCAATATTATCCCCGTCAACTAACTTCTTTGAAAGAAGAATACGGTACTACTGATTTGACGAGCATCGCTTAGTATCATTGATACGAATATGGCACATCTATGCTATAACCCACTCATCAACTGACTCACACAAACTTCTTGCCTGTCTACATCGTCTCGAATTACAACGTAAAGCGAAAGCTAAAAATACAGTCTTCCATCCAGTTAGATAAATCTGTTCAATTGTCTTGTGATTGATATGTGACAATTCCCTCGGCGAAGTTGGTTATTTATGTGCATGATATTTTTGAACGCAGTGAGAATTCAATTGTGGATAAAATGTTTATTGCTTAGTTATCGAATGTGTCATTTACAATGAATCTGATTTGGGTGTTTGAGTTAACGTTTTTTGAATCCGTATTTCTTTCGCTCGTAAAATAGGTCGGTTTTCGCGCTTCCTAAATTGACAATTTTTGGACAACCATCTCTCTAAATTCGAAGAATATAATGGAACAGAAGGAGACTCACGTCTTTTTCCAAACAGGTGCATTGTCGGCAATAATAGGCGTCTGAAACACCTGGTCCACCGCATATAACACAACGTCCTTGATAAGAACCGTAGTTACATTCATCACATATGCGTACTAGGGTGCATGGACGCACATACGAATCACATATAACACATTTTCCATCACACTTTTCACACAACCTACCAATAGCTATATTTAAATGCTTTTAGAGAAACATCACTCTTACCCACTCCCGGTTGTTTTCTGCAAAAAATAAGATCTGGGTGGTGTTTTGCCATGGTTCACGCCTTTTCTGAACTGGTACGTCTGGCCTGCATCAACAAAGTGTGAATAAGATAATCAAAATAGATGGCATTACAAACTTAATTTTATTTACTAACACGGGTGCTAATACGACACGACGCAACAAGTGGTTGATTTCTAACCTACATTTGTGGACAAGTGGAAGCAGACATTTAAAGGAGTGAATAGTTGCACTTCACAGTGGCTGTTCAAGTTATAGCTACTTCATACCAAATGAAAACATGTGCGCTGGAGTCAGCCATTTCACATAGAGCCTCCTTCTCAGCATCCCTAATGTACCAATTATCGAAATAATTACACGTCCATACGTGACTCAAAAAACAAGTTGATGCTGTATACAATCGTACTACATTTTATATATAAGTTGGTTAGTAATCAGAATAGGAAATAGGAGCTCAAAATTTCAGCAGATTCACAAGTGTTCCTCGATCTTTCGCAGTTACAACCGATATTTGGAAAATTTACTCGACAAAAGGTCTGATATTATCATACCACGACTGGAGTTATTATGTCTCAGAAAAAGCACGAAAATGTAACAGAAGAAAAATTCAAAGAACACTCACAGAAGAAATGTGTCATTACAGTTAAAATTAAAACTAAGTGTTACCGTGATCAAATTTCGATGACGCTCTTTAGCCTTCAATAAGCGATTTTAACCGTCTCGTGAACACTATCCTACATGTCTCAGTTAATACCTGTGTGCATCGCTGCAATATATTAATTTAACGACTGAAATTAGCCAACTTGTTGCTATACTATTCAAATACATTAGAATAAATGAGTCCAAATACTATTTCACTAGTAATCCTGTCTTTTGAATGACTTAGCAGCATATCATTTAAAATGAGTCTAATTTAACGGCCATAATTTTTCTTCTCAGTTGACTTAACCATAGCTAGTAATGAATGTGGAGTAGTATAATCACATTTCTCATTGAGGAATCTTGAGTGGCGCAACACTGGAATTCTGTGAAAAGGAAATGGAAGATAGTCTGTATAGCCGTTTTAGGAAGGAATAAGAGGCAAGACAAGAAATGGTTCTCCATGGACACGTAGAAGGCGACAAAACATAGCGAAATAGAAGATGAACCAGTGCAAAGATATACAACACGAAGAGAAGCTGAGTGTATTAAATAAAAGAGTAAAGAAAAGCACGAGTAAAGATAGAAAATTTTTTCATTAATGAATATTCCCCATTCGAACATTAATAGACAGAAGACCAGTAGTTCAGCAAAGTCTCTTTGCGGCTAATTTTACGATACACTGGCTACCGAAGCAGAACAAGACAGACTCCAGAACACCATAACAGATAACAAAGTCGCTATCCGAGGAGAGATCAATAAACATGTAACTAGTGGAACATAGTGAAGGAAATTTAATTACCAACTCAGTGGGACAAACTAAACCCTGACCTGACAACTTTAAAGGACATGCAACAGTAATATTTACTGATGACGTTTGGAGCACAAATTATTGTTTATAATCATATCAGGGCACCCACACAACTATTCAAGTGTTGGGTTGTAGGGATTTGATTGGTTACAGGATTTCATCATGAGCTGACATTAGTTAGAGAACCATTGGAAAACCTGGGAGTACTGGACAGCTCTTTCGTCCTAGTTTGGGACTCTTCATCAGTACACACCCACCGGGATTCGAATCCAGTACCTTCTGGTTACAAGTCGAGCTGGTATACCATTAAGCCACTGGGACCCGATCCAATGGCCCATGAATTCTAATTCGTGAATTGACAGAAGTTAGAATTCATGGGCCATTGGATCGGGTCCCAGTGGCTTAATGGTATACCAGCTCGACTTGTAACCAGAAGGTCCTGGATTCGAATCCCGGTGGGTGTGTACTGATGAAGAGTCCCAAACTAGGACGAAAGAGCTGTCCAGTACTCCCAGGTTTTCCAATGGTTCTCTAACTAATGTCAGCTCTTGATGAAATCCTGTAACTCACACAACTTCCTTGCTTCATTTGTACTCGAAACGTCATCAGTAAATATTACTGTATAACACTGTGATTTTATCAAAATAAAATCTAATCTATAATGGAGTTGTGCTCTACCACAAAGCACAAGTTTTATCCTTATATCAGTTATGTTGTGTCATTGCTTCTATATATTTCAGAGACTTCGTACGTCCTCAGAATTACTTCCAACAGGCTACTACTGCGTCGGTGGCACAGTAGTTAGGACTCTCGCCGACCACGCACACGGTCCGGGGTTCGAGCCCTCGCCGACGCACACCTGATATCTATGGTCGGCCTGCGAATTTCGGGTTACTGATATCCACGCTGAAAATTCCATACTTGTACCAAAAATACGGTGTGGAATCAAGCTGTAATCAAAAATAAAAGACCTTTATCAACAGATACCTTCACTCCATAGTGAAAATGAGAGGGTCAGAATATGTTTAGCCAGACCTGATTACCGTGGCCACCCGACGCTAATGATTTTTCTCCTCCAGGTACTTCACATAGAAATCAACCTAAGCCGCATAAGTAGACGGAACATGGTGCTCACCCACAGAAACCCGTTGGCACGTAAATTTTCTCCGTCCATAGTACTGTCAATACTATTCCCCTGACATTTCCTTCACCGTTTTTGTAACCCTGTAGGAATAACTAGTGTCTAAGTCTGAAAAAAACAGGGATCTCAGCACATAGGAACCATTCTTTCAACGATGGAAAATTTCGTAAGTGTCCCGTATTCTGAATAAACGAAACCTGTATCTAAAGGGGGACAACTACTAACAAGCCTAGCAATAATACTTTAACTGTTGGTGACATGGTTAAAAGTCGTTCTCGATGGCTTAGATGAATTCACTCTACATGAACTGTCAGATCCATCCGATTCCTATGCTTCTGCACATACGCGTTCATTAGTTTCAGTGAATTTTGGCTCCACCTTTATGTGCTATAAAGAGTGTAACAACTTGAACTGCCACATTTTTGTCCAAATTTTTACGTTGGAAACTCAGTCAGTCAGACAGTAGTACTAACCCGAAGAACCCCTGGTATTATATCCAATTGGCTGCAAAAATAGTGAACTGATGATAACGTACCACCAAGAGTTATTAAATACAAGTAAGTTTCTCCACTCTCTTTTGAACTGACTGATGCAAGATCTATTTTGACAGACCACCAAAAAGCCGAAGAGCAAGTCTCTTGAATACAAGCTGGATAAAAGTCTTCGCAATGACCGCTAACTGTGCGTAATAAAAGCGGAAAGAATTAAAAAGGGGCCAGTAGTAAGTAATGCTTATCAACTACTTCGGCTCACTAGAGGAACTGCAAATATCGTACGATAAATAAAATAACTCTCGGGAAGGATATAAATTTTTAGGAGAGACCATGGGAACCTTCCTCCAAAAATCTGGAAGACAACTGACCTACAACTATATAATAGATGTACACCATCCAGGTTAGGACCTAGACATCAGTGGTTGTATAACTTGCCCTTAATGCAAAATGAAGCAAGATACTAGGGTCTCCATTATGGATAAGATTTTATTTTGATAAATCACACAGAGTTGTACAGTAATGTTAACTGATGACGTTTCGAGCACAAACTATTTCTAATAATCATATCATATATCAATAATACTACGGTCTGACGGTATAATTACAGGGATATTTACGAATTATTGACCAGATAAACTGAAGTATCAGGAATAAGTGACACATCCAGACAGTCCAGTTGGACTGGTATAGATCCTTCCCGTTTATAAGTAAGAGAAAAAATCCCAAAATTACCACAGTGGGTTAGCTCGACTAACATAGCATATAAAATTTTAACTATCAAAAACCTGCAGAAACTAAGTGAGGTTTTGAAGAAATAAGACAAAGCTAGACACGCTTCAGGCCGAGGCAAAGGTGTATGGATCTTATCTCCACGCTTCTACGTATTCTCTGATGCGGCCATATTCACAGGAGTTCAATTTAGCGATTATTCTTGATATGAAGGTGAGATTTGGCTCCACCGATTGAGAAGTGTTGTGTGTGTGTCTTTAAGTGAAGAGAATGACGTAAAATAGGTAAAACTACATACTACTGCGGGCTGAAGTGGGTGGTGGTTGTATACCACCACCAGTAGTGCTTGATAGTCGGGTCAAAGTGATATATAAAAAGGGATGCTCACTTGGGGTGGAGCCCATCAGCGGTGTGCCTGGTTTGACTCAGATCAGAGAGCCGAATACTTTATGGTATTAAATAGATCACATTGTGGTCTGAATAACTACGGTTTTAAGATGAAACTGTGATGAAACTACACTTGCTCAATTTATATCATTTGCAAATCTCTAATTAGTTTGCAAGTCAGGAATGTAATTTTTAATGCCAAAAGATGTTGCACTTTTCAAAGATAAGATGAGATAATCATAATATATACCGTATTAGAGAAGTCACTAAATGCAAACTCAGTAAAGTAGGAGCTTAAAGAAAGTTGTCATATGAAGTGATGACAACTTGAGATGTCAAAAATAACCATACGTATTTAATTCTATTATAAGTAGAAGTGTTTACATAGTGCAGCTTTTTGGACACCTTGTGCAAAAATATAAATATCCTTGGCATGAAATTTGCTTTTATCAGGTGGAAGAGTGTTATAAAATTAGGTCTGCACAAACTCAAAGTTTAAGGACACCCATGGTACAGGCGGTGTCATCACCTTCCTCAACAGAAAATATTAAATCATTTAGTATTTGGTTGTAAAAGTTAGGGATTGCCAGAAAGTATCCGACAGGGAAACGTAGACTGTGAGATTGGGATCTTCCTAATGCTGTATATTTATATATGGAGACTAGCATGGTTTAATGTCACTTAGAGTGGTGTGGATATAATCACAAATTGCCATTCTCTAGATATTAAAATTCCTGCCAAATTTTTATCGAATTATTCGTTCTCATCCACATCTTTGTCTATTGTAGTTCCACTGCATTTTCCTCTAATTCTGGAAAAGATGTACTTTGTGCTCCACTTGCAACAAAAGACCCTTACTTTGAACCTCTATTGGAGTATTATCTCATCTTTCGACCAACACTACTAAAAGATCAAATATTAGGTTAACGAAAGCATCAATAACAACATAAGGGAATTTAATCGTAAGGAAATCTGCTGGAACAACCAGTAAGTCAAATTCATCAATGGTGAATTCTCACAACTTACTAAAAATTGAAGGCAATGTTGAAGATGTCCAGTAGCACAACGAGGGCCTCCCAATTAAATGATCCACCTCAGAGAACAACCCAAAAATGTAACTAGTGTGGGATAATAACATGTTAATAACCTGATTGAAAGTCAACTAACTGATATACCTAAGACCACGTTTAGAACCAGTTTCCTCCCGTATTATTATAGAAAGATATTTGAAAGTTGTAATAAGAAAGCTAATTGATGTTGTCACAAGAGGAAATTTACATTTCGATAATACTCAAATAACCAGAGGTTTCTGAAAGCACGAAGTCTGTTTTTTAAAATGTGCTGTTCACTACTTTCATCTACATCATCTAGCAAACTACTGACACCACTGAGAATGCGATTTCTCTAACACCAATGCCATAGCCTACCAAAAATGCCTACTGACCGCAAATAATCTCTACTGCCTCACCTATGTCTCTGGTTTTCGATAGTCACCTTCATAAATGATAATTATGGAGTTAGTCCGTTCACACTATTTCGTCTCTTGTATTGTTCAAGTTATTCGAAAGACAGTTTTTTCCTTACATTCCTTACGATGAATGGCAATTTAACACTAGAAGTCGATGACGATGAATGATGAGTCTGATACATATCTAGTTACTATTAACGTCACAACTAGCTAGCAATATTTCGTCATATAGGCACACAGATAAAGATTCCAAAAGTACTACTTAATATTAGTTTCAACTGCCTTATTCTGAGAATAAATATGCAGTCACCCTCAATTACCAACACATTTTCAAAGAAACGCATAGAATTTAGCACTACTCGGTCCACACAGAAGTCAATGGTTTGGGCTTCACAGTGTGATGTGTGACTGTCGACCAGTACTTGAACGGCTGAACAACAGAACAGCTAACATGATATGACAGTGAATAATAATGATCCCTTTAAGGACTGAAACACAGTGAACATTCGTTTTTAGGAGTAAAAAAGTTAGTGCTGCAGAGGAAAAAGGGAATGGACACGTATATTCACATTACAGACAGCAACCTAGGAGTAGTATGGCAATTTTAAGTGCAGCCAATTAGCTCAAATTAACTTTCTTGTAAAATTAAAGATTAAATTCATGCAGTCACAAAGTAGTCTACAAGAATAATTTCAGTAATTAGTGGGGCGATTTTTCTATGCATACTTGTTAAATAAGGGAAATGTAAGATGAATTGGAATGTATGAGAATTTTCGTAAATATGTGGCGGTTTATCCACAATCTGCCATCTCATCTGATCACATATGCTCGCCTACCAACGTTAAACCCCATCCAATATCCAATATCGTTTTTACGAGCTAGTATAAACCAATTTGATTTCTTTGTGCTCGCTTCTTGATTGTGAGGTATAGGTTCTTGATCTTCGGTAAACTTCTGCGTAGCTTGTCCCGCCACTCGACTGTCGTAGCTTTGGTTGACTCCAAAGGGAGTAGTGCTGGGATTAATTATATGTGGTTTGTAGTATGAGGTATGTTAAGACTGTTACTACTGTGATTGGAGTTGATCCTTTCGCCAGTTAGTCCTTCGGTATCGTCGACAAGAGAAAAGAGATAGTAATAATAATAGATATAATTAGTGAAGCTATTCAGACTAAGAGACAGAAACGAAAATAGGAAACGTAACAACAGTCAGCTCGTTAAGTTTGAAGAATAATATATATATCGGTAATAATAATAATAATAATAATAGTAATTATAATATTAATAAGTTGTCAGGAGAGTAAGACGGGAGAGAATGTAAAGAAGTAAAATGACGAGTTTAATTATCTACCCTGATTGGTATATGAGATTTTAAGGAGATAGGCCATTTGAATGCAGTCCTTGTATCGCTGCATGGTTGTCCAGCCTTCGCTTAAAGGCGTCCAAAGACGGTGCCATAGCTACATCTGCCGGCAAGGAATTCCAGGGACGACAAACCCGCAGTGAAAAGAAGTGGGAGCGCACCCGGGTCCTTGCCCTCTGGTGAGCTATCCTTCTGGGATTTCCACGTGAGAGCCTATACCTACTCAATGGCAGAACACCTTTGTTTGGGTGATTCTGGTCATTTGTTATTTTGTAGGCAGTAATCAAATCCCCCCTAAGCCGACGGTAACTAAGTGTGAACAGGCCTAATTTCTTCAGCCTTTCATCATATGGTTTGTTTCGGAGACCAACCACTCCTTTTGTTGCCCGTCGTTGGACTCTTTCCAAGAGGTTGGCGTCTCTTCTCAGCATTGGGGGTGCAATAATATTATGCACCTCAAGGTGTGGCCTGACGTATGTTTTGTACAACATTAGAAAGAGCTCAGGAGTGAGTGCACCTAACTGTCTATGCGTAAAGTGTATGACCGCATATGTCCCCGCTACACCCACTGTGTAATTTACTCTTGTGTCCATTTTTTCCGTTAGAACTAGACCTAAGTCGCGTTCCGACGTTGTGCAGGACAAGCTTTCATTGCACAGGGTGTAACTTGCATTCTGCAGTCTACAGGTGCGCAACTTCACTACTTTGCACTTTTTCAAGTTGAAAGTCATGCCACTGGCCACCGCCCAGTCTTCCAGAAGGTTTAGGTCTTCCTGTAGCCTATCTGAGTCCTCCGGACACTTTACCGCTGTATTGGTAGCAGAGTTGAGATATATGTAACTGAATACACTGAGGACTGGACTGGCCTTCGTTTAACATTCCACCAATAGTTGTGTTCTCTTAGACAAGCCAGAATCGACATGTTAATGTGTCTTTCTGACTCCATCTTCCCATGTTCATTTACGCATCCAAAAGAAACTCCCAATCGCCCCAGAGTGACTTTGACTTAAATTACTGGGGAAAAAGGCCAATAAGACAATCACCATAGGTTATGTACATTTAAGAAAATGAAGAAGCAAGGTTAACTTCTTACAGTACAACACACCTGCCAAAACTCGCGCCACCGGAAGGTACCCAACATTCAATATCGTTTTAGCGAGCTAGTGTGAACCAATTTGATTTCTTCGTGCTCGCTTCTTCGTTGTGGGGTGAAGACTCCTGGTCTTCGATAAAATTCTGCGTAGTTCGTCCCGCCACTAGACTATCGTATCATTCTTTCCACTACTGTCACTGGAGGACTTGTCCGGTATTGTAGCGGCAGCATGGGTGTCTGGTATATGGTGGGTGCTCTTGTGTGCTGATGGGCACTCACTCGCTGACAGAGCGCATCAGGGACGTGTATTGCTTTGTCGGTGTCGCTGGTCACGTCATTGGTGTCTGAGCAGTAACACCCCTGGTTCAGATGGCATATCTTCCATTCTGCTGAAAAGGTTGTAATGACTTCAGTTTACTCCTACCCAAGTTATACTCAATTTTACTAAGCAACTGGACATACCCTACCTGCTGGAAGAAGTCCTATATTATATCCATCCATAAATACGGGCCCATAGCTGATATCAACAACTATCACCTCATCAACATCACGTCTGTAGTTTCATGTGTAATGGAAAAGATAGTATAGACTCAAATCATTCAGTACTAACTACTACTCTAATGACCTCCTGTCCCCATCCTAATAAGGTTTCTTGAGTAGAAGGTCATGCATTACTTGCCACTAAGATTACTTTGACTACATTACACAGTGCATGGATAATTGGCATTGAGTAACAAAATTATTTCTCGAAGTTAGCAAAGTCTTTGATAAGGTCCCACATATTAGACTCCTAACAAGACTCCACACTTACGGAATAAGTGAAAACCTTTTCCAAATGGACAAATTCTTTTCTCACAGAAAGACGGCAACTAGTCAAAATCAAACACTAGCTATCTACATCAGAGCGATAACTAGTGGTGTAATTCAAGGAAGCGTTCTTGGCCCTATTCTATTCCTCTTATTCATAAATGACATAGTCTCTGTGATCAAGTATGGCAAGCCATACCTCTTTGTAGATGATCTTAAGATAGTACAATGATATGAGCATCGAAAGCAAGATCCAATACGAACCCCTATAGTTAGGTGAAGTGAAATGCATCCTGTTTCTACTGTTCGAAGTTATCAGGAAACATTGCTTCAGTGACTCACCCATAGCATGGGCAAATAATAAATCATATCTGCTGCAAAACCACGACTACCTTCTCACAGAAAAACCATTAAGGCAAACTTTTTCAACATTAAATATGACATTCTTTGAAACCAACTACCATCTGAAATTTCATCTTGTGAAAATCCCGATGGGTTCAAACGGAAGTCAGAAAGACACATTAACATGTCGATTCTGGCTTGTCTTAGAGAACACAACTATTGGTAGAGTGTTAAACGAAGGCCAGTCCAGTCCTCAGTGTATTCAGTTACATATATCTCAACTCTGCTACTAATACAGCGAACTTTTAACTAATTCACTGATTTTCTGTTTTCTATAATCCTCAATAAGTTCTGTTAGTACAAACTATTCTAGAAACAATTACGCTAGCAACCACGTTTTTTAAATAGTTTACACATGTATTTATAATTAATGATGCACTGCTATTTTTGTGTCGAAATGACTTCACTCAGTCAATAACTACCTTTTCTCATATACTTCTCTAAAATGTACAACTCCATAACATTTTGCAGTATTTTTAACATAGCATAAGTTGATGAGTTACTTTGCAATATCTGACATATACCATATGGAAATCGGTCACGAAAATTTGGTATAACTGTAACGACAAAAGAAAAGGGAAGGCAACAGATCGTTTGTTGAGAAAATCAGGAGATATTTATAGATTTTTAAGTACATTATTATTTGTTATTTTAGCAGAGAAGCAACATCTTCCGATTGGTCGTTTTGTTGAAGGTTAATCTGCACTGCTTGTAATCGTTGCTTACAAAGTTATGCATTTAACTTCGAAATGTAATAGCACACGCTAAGTCTGATGTTACTTGTTGTTGAGTTCCTCAAGGTTAGGCTTCGTTCTTTCTTTTCTCGTGACCCCGATTCGGGACGTAAACATCGACGTTAATTGTTGTCTACAATTTTGTCTTGCAGACAGCCCTCACCACATAACTAATTCTGTTAACCAGCTGTTTTCTTCAGGGTCATTCTACACAACTGTATCACTACTTGTTCCAATGCCCATTTCACTCCTCTAGATAGACTATAACTTAGTTGCTGTAATACCAGCTACTCCTATACCTCATAAAATTTTAATCCCATAGTCGTTTGTAACAAATACTTATATAGATGTATGTATGTATAAAGGTGATACTGCCAAGAACGTCCTCAGGTGTCGGTGAATCTGGTGACCTATCGGGAAGCATTCGTCATGAAAGCTATTAATGTGCAGCAAACAGTATGATTGGGATGGGCTCAAAGCAATGCAATGCTGTGACCACAGTGACCACAGTGACCACCAAAAATATCTCCGAGTATAACACCAAAGAAGGGGGAGGTTGGTGCATGCTGATCTGCAGATATGGTGGTGGTCACACATGTGAATCACTTCGATCTGTAGGATAACAACACGCATTCTTCGACAGCCTGAGAATTAAGCACTATTCTAGATCCTTAAAAAAGGGAAAAACAGGGGCTGTACAGATCTAAATCATGAAAGAATGTTTTCGCTCCTACCATCTACAAGCCTGTCCAAGTTCTTGTCAATGTGCTACTCCACGGGCCCTAGAGGAATTTGTGAGACGTCTTACGGGTCAGCTTGTCCCACGGGTTCTAATCATTCAAGCCACTTCTTGCTGAAATATAACTTATATACCTTACGATAGTCCTTTTATCTACGCCCTATTATAGTCTATCTTATCTTAACTACCTAGGCCTCTAGTGTAACCAAAAATTACTCCTTTGTTCGTATTCTTCGCCAGCTAAAGGTCTGGTTGCTGTGGTAGAAAAAACACAACAGCACCAGTGTTTGAATGAAACTTTATTTTCATCGAAAACGTTACTATTTTCAATGGCAAAACCATTATGGTTAGTATTAAGCATTGCGAATGTGTACAACCATTTCAAGTGCTCTATAGCTCCTTCTTTTGTTGTTCTTGTAAATGTTCTTCCTATGATGTTTTATCCACTATTGCATTTCGTACGTTTTTGTAGGTGACTAGGACGTTCTTCTCTTCTTGAAATAGTGTAAAATCAATTTGCGGCATAGCTTTCATTCAAATATATGTTGTTTTTCGACTGGTCATAATTGTCACAAGAAAATGGAACGAAGTTTGGATTGCCGTTTAACTTTGGCTGTCGCCTTAGTGAAAGCATTACGATTTGAAATTCATAAGAACCTGTTCTGATTGCTTGTTCAATAACGGAACAATTTAAACTTTTGAAAAAGTATTGGTTTATTAAACTTTACGACTGTAATTTATAACATAAGTGATCATGCCTGCATTCCTTGAGATGTGCCACAGTTTGCTCTTGAGAAAAACCAGAATCTTATGGCACATCCGGTAGTGTTATACAGTGTTATGACTCGTTTATGCGTGGTCCATCCCAACATTTTAGGACTAATTATATTTTTCACTAACGGTCTAATGTCAAGTGGCGTAATCCATGGTAGTGTACTGGGCCCTCTTGTTTTTTCATGTATCTGTATTATATCCACGAAGTTATAAATCATGACAGACTTAAAAGTGTCGATGAATTAAAAGCGGTCTACAACGGTGCCTCCCAAGAAGTAATAAGTCTGCTTCAAAAAATAAACTCACTTACTGGTAATAGTAAGAAATAGTATGAGTCACGAATGATGCGAACCGACATGGAGAATTGTGATATGTAGCGCTTAGCACGCCTTCGTATTAAGCCACACATAACTACATGCCACAAGCTCATCAACACTTTTCTTTTGGTACTCGACCCCGGATTCAATCCCTCTGTTGATCTTAAATCCTTTCATTCTGCCACCAGCAGGACTTCAAAAGCCGGCAGGTTACTTGTATTCATATTTTATAAGTTCCAAACCGAAGAATCTAAAATACCGTTGTATAAAACGCCCATACGTTCCATCCTTGAGTGGCGTACAATTATTGTCAGTCACGTCTCGTAAACCGTCAATGCCCAGCTCTTGCTACGCTGGGACTCACGCTGTTCCTCGAAGCTTCTCAGAAACGCTTAGTACGAACGGATTCAAAAACCAAAACACAGATTGGCGACTCGAGAATTCTTTATTCTAACACCAACATATAGCCAACTTGACAACTAAGGTCTATGAACAAATATTACAATAATAAATCATAATATTACTTCTGACGGTTTGTACTTGCTTTCTGAACAGTGATCGATGAGACGATGACTGGTGTATTGATGCCTCAGCGAAAAATTGGGGAAGTTGGGTTTGAGCAAACAACCACGAATTGATCGTTCAATCTTCAACTACATTGACACTTATCTTAAGACAAACTGAAGACTGAAAGTCTCCAAAGGAGACTAATGAGTAAAATTTTGGGAACAATTTCTAAAGTTCCTTACAATTACTGTTGCACAACCATCAACATCGACGCCTTTTGGTTCAGCCTTTATCGACTTAAAAACATTCTTCTATTTGGAATTCACAAAAGAATACTATGCTTTTCCAATAACATGTCAGTCACACAGAAACAGGCCTTCTGTAAGTCATGTTCTTTGTCGAACCAAGTCTCACTCTGACTTCTTTACTGTCTGGTATAGGCATTAATGTAACTTCTTGCCAGGTGAAGTCAAAACCAGCAAAATAATACGGCAGTTCATTTTTCTACTAAATAAGCACTTCTCTAAAAAGTCTTGACGCCGTTTTTTACCAGGTTGAAATTCACGATATGGTTTCTTTCTCCATTGACTTACGTATCTGAACAGCTTTTTTTTTACTAAAAATGAACAGAAATAGCAAAAACAATCATACTTGTTTGGCATAATTAGGATTACGCCAATGTTATCATATGTTCCTTTTTTAGTTGATTCTATTATTTGCTTAGCATGCGTCAAAATGTCCGTAATCCCCCATT